CGGACTCGCAGCGGGCCGGTACTCGGGCACCAATCGACCCGACTTGTACCGGACACCGCACGCATTACACAGAGTCTTGGGCCCCATGGGTCCCGTCCTCCACTGAGGCGTCTTTTCCGACCCGCAATGAAGGCATTGCCGACCGGGAGTTTCGGTTGTTTCTCTTTTCCTTGACGGCGCCTGTTTGGGAGCTTTTATGGTAACGCTCATTGGGTTAGGAGTGTTCACGTCGTTCGTGGGTTCGGATGACGACGTAGCAGGGGAGGCAAGGAGGAGGAGGCGGGAGGCCCAGTTGCATGGGGCGGCACGGGAGCGTTTGCTGCGGGCTTTTCCGGGAAAGGAGACGTCGGAGGGGAATACTGGAGATGATGAATTGCTGTTGTCGTTATTAGTAGAAATGGTAGCGGCGGAAGAGGAGGTGTCGGTGGTGGCGTTAGCCGTTGCTGCGGAAGAGGCGGAGGGAGCTTTAAAATTTGTGGTAGGGGAAATGAGGTGAAGGTTATGAAGGTCATCGCTCGAGAACGACTCCTCCACAAAATTCGAGAGCCATTCAAGCTCAGCCAGGTCGTCATACTGTTCATGACAAAAATAAAACCAATTAATTTCCAAAATCATGAGTCCACTATTTCCTAATTTATCTCATGCGTAAAATACTTCTTTTTTTATTTTTTTTAATAAACATGCGTAAAATACTTAGTAGACAGTACTGGTCAGCTGGTACAAATGTTATAAGCTTAGAGTGCAAACACTTGCTACTGTTGCTAAGATTGTATCAATTGTTTTTTCTGTTTTTTTAATAAAAAAAAAATCTCCCGTTATTAACTTGCCTAAAACCGAAACTTACAAAAATTGGTGAAGAGCCAAAACAACAAAAAACTAAAGATGAGCATTAATTGTACAACCAAATTGGAAACAGATAATTCTGCAAAAGTTGCTAAGGGTTCTTGCACGGTCACGGCTGTAAATTTTCCATCATTGTAAATTATTCCTAGTATTTCCAGCGAATATAAAACTTTTCCTCTTCTGATGAATTAAACATGTAATTTAATTCTACGGAAATTGTTTTAAGACAGGGAATTATAAGGAAATGTTGGTTTTTACCGGAACGCAGAGTTCACTGCCGGAGAATTGTGTATCAGTGAAGCTGCGGCAGCTAATATTGCCGTTAAATTGCCGGTCGCCACCCGAGACAGACGAGTTACAGCTGTCGACCACAGTAAGAGAAGAAGACTCGCCAGAATTTCCGGTAATGCTGTCAAAAAAAGCGTCGGTCATTACCTCATCTTCCTTGGGAAAATCCAAAAGGTCGTCCACCGTAAAATTGTTGGAGTTACCAGTAGTGATGTTTTGATTCTCCATCGATTTATGGCCGAATTCGTTATCTCCGGCATGGCTAAAATATCCGCCGACAAAGAATTCCGATGAAGCTTCCATTTTGTGTATGGGGATTTTAGCCAAGTAACGTTTTCGGTTTGGGTCCCTTTTTTTTTGCCCTTTTAAGATATTTGGGTGTCAAATTTGGAGAGAATAGAGGGACGAAAAGGGTGGAGTGGAGTTTGAACTTTGAAGAGGACAAGGCGGAGAGAGGACTGAAAGTGAGGGGGGGTTTTGACGAGTGAAATCAGGGGTAGAAATGTAAACAAACAAAATAGCAACTGAAAATATTGTATTGATTTTTATTTATTTTATCACTTATTTGAACTGGAAACAGCAGCATCTTTACCCGCTGTCGAATAAATTATTTTGTAGAAATCAGTTGTTCCCAAACTTGCAACTACTGGCACTGTAAAGTCGTATTCCTCTTTCCCTTTATGGTGTTACGTTCCTTTCTTTTTCTTTATTTACCTTTTAAGCATCCTATTACCCCTTTTCTTTTTCTCCTACTCGTTTCTTTTTTAAGTGTTTTCCTTTTTGGTTTTCTTGAATTTTTTGTCTCTTATATTAGTGAAAAGAAATGATTTATGAAAAAATGAGAATTTTTTTTCTGAAAGATGAAAATATGAGAATGCTGGCCCCAAAAAGGAAAAATGTTTCACAGTTCACGCTCATCAAGGCCGCCCGGGAACCTTCACAGACTCCATTATGAAGTATTGGCAGCGTGTGTACACCGTGAATTTCTTGTTTTTGTATTCCTATACTGAAATTCTCTCACAGTCACAGCCCGTCCACAAATTGACAGTAGTACCTTAGTTAATATTATGAATTAGTGGGTGCATATTTTAGAAAAAAATAAATAATAACAAAAAATATAGAAAAACGGATCAATTGCAATTTTAAAAAAAATTAATTGCAGAGTAGTGGGATTTCCTAATTTTTTTCATTATTGAAGTTGGCACGTGGAAGATATGAGATAAACATAATAACAGTGGGTAAGTATGGTAGTAACAGTTATGCAGTGGTCGATAAGTAAAGTAATAGCAGTTAAATAATATATGAGAGTATGGAATATAAGATGATTGTGTATTATTCTTCGATTGTGCGAGCGTAAAATGAAAATAATGACATTTTTTAACACCAAATCCATTGCCCGTGCATTATATATAGAAAGACGAGGTCAGTTGGGATTATAAGTTAAAAATGAAAAATTTCTCTTTTTTTTTGGCCCTTTTCTTTTGGGGTGTGTACATAAGTTGATTCTTTTCTCTCTTTTTTTTTTAAAAAAAACAAATTATTTTTTTTTTTAGTTTCTCCTTTTTCTATTTGGGGTGTGTAAATAAATTGAAAATATCTAAAATTATTTTAATTCTAAAGTTTCCAGATGGTACAAAAGGAGTGGGAAGAAATTCACGCAAGTGATATCATCATCGCCATGTGCAACGTGAATAATTAAACCGCAAGCTGTGGAATCTTTAATTGGGCGTAGAAGTGAGCTAGTAGGAATTGATTAATGAAAGAAGGGGAGGGCTGAAGGACAGGGGCTGAAATATTAGAGAGATAAGATCAATTGATGAAATACTAGTCTACTAGTAAAGGGTAGTAATTGAAAATTATTCAACCCCTTTTCCCTTAAGAATCGATCTAGCAGGTTTTGTCGCCGTGACTCTTCCGTTCCATTACTGTCCAAGTCTACAGCCGGATTCTCCCCTGCTTCCTCTCTCTCTCATTATTTTTCTCTCGGGACCTGCGCTCTTCCCTCTTCTTTTTTTTTATAATTTCAATAAATATTTTTCGCTTTGTGTTTCCTGCCTCTGATTTTTGTTTCTCATAATTTATTGCCCCACATATTTATTACTAATAGTACTTTCTACCCTCTAAAACACATGTTATTATTGCTTCCCAAAAAAAAAAAAAAAAAAAACCATACACGTTATTATATTCCTTAACCCACGTTACCGCACGATGCTTACAGCTCACCTCAAACCAAACGATGCTACGCATCAGCTCCAGGTGTGAATTAAATTACCCATATGTGTATGTGAATTAAAGTACTAACAGAAAAAGCTTTCCTTCATTACATAACATTATTGCTGGTAATTTTTTTTTTTCATTTTTAGGAAATTTCACGCGCTCTTTAGTTTGTAGCTTGAGACGAAGGCATTCAATTCACCCACTTGCTTCCTTTAACCTCGACATTAACTTCTAGCCCGAGTCACCTGTACAAATCCCCATGCCAATCGCTGTTGAGAAATGGATTGGATAAAGTTAAAAATTTGTCAATTCTCACCAATCATAACACGCTAGCCTTTTCTTTTTTTTTTTTATCCTCTAATATTAAATCTTATCATCGAGGTTAAACAAATAAAGTCACTGACCATTTGGTCCAGTGGTCATCACCCTCTTTGATGATGCTGGAGGTTAAGGGTTCAACTTCTTACTCCTTCCCTCTAGATTAACTTAGATTAAGTTACAGAAAATCTACCGTTGTATCGTCTTTAGCAACATCTTTGATCCCACCATCCCTTGGATATATATACATTATACATATATAGAGCCTTTTTTGATACGGAATAAATCTTCAATCTAACATTTTGCCTTTCTAATTGGCTGGTTTTTGCGCCAACTAATCTGGGTTACATTGATTGATTGATTGATTGTACGTACTATGCTGAGCTGTGTTCGTGCTGAGATGTTTACAATAGTAGTCCCTATATTTATCTTTCATTATTCTGGGTTGAATTTAAGAATGAATGAATACTCCTAAATTAGTAGTCAGCATTTACTTTTTGTAGTTGTACGTAACTATATGTATGGCTTTCAAATGGGGTCCGACTTAGCACGTGACGAAGGTGAGGGGATACTGTCAGCCATCATGTGACTGTGAGTGTGAGGCGGACTTTATATGCAAAAATACGCATACAGAATTAGTTATCTTATAGAGTATTATGTGCTGCTAAGATACCACACCTCTTGCCAGTTTATTAGGTTTGAGTTCCAAGTCAGATTGGCCGGCCACGGACCAACTACCAAGCCGTGGTCAAAATTCAAGCTGTTAGTTGCTACAGCCTAAGTACGTTATTATTATTACATTCACGGGCGGGCGGGCGGATAAATTAAGTAAGTAGCTCATAGTCATAGCCGGAAGCGGGATTGGAAGCCCGTTCCGAGCTCTTGCCATAGGTCATTTGCCTCACCGTCTTCTCTTTGATGCTGCCCCACACGTGTGCCAACAGTATGCGTGCATACATGTCCGCAACCAACGTGGCTGCACGTGTAGGATCGTCACGTGAAAGGCACACACTGCACGTGCCTCTTGCCCGCAGCATGTGGCCACATTCATTTTCTCAATCATTACTCCCTTTAATTCCAGGCTTACCGTTGATATGCATGCAAGAAGTTTAGGAGGAACACCTACAAGTGGCCCAACTTACCTTCCTCAAATTGTTTATTGGGCTGCCTAAAAAACAAATCATAGGATTGCGTAACGGGCCCGATGAGAAGGCCCATGAGTTGGAATAGAGCGTCCCATAATGCAACTTTTACTTTTATCCTCCCTGTCGTCTCAATAATTCTCCCGTGAAAAGCGCTAAGCAGCACCAAAACCATATCAATGCCCAGACTAGCAGGAAATGTGTTTTTTTTTTCCACACACGCAGTGGTTGATGGGAGACAGGAATCAATGAAGCTGTTCTCCGCAGGCAAAACTTATGACAATGGCCAGAAATTGAGACGGCAAACTATTCGGTGCGCAAGGGTAGAAGCAGAAAGAGTCTTATCTAGTTAGTATTCAGCTCAAAGGCTCGTCATCATGATCTGGTCCATAACAAGTCAAAGACTACGTGGAGTCCAAGCACATTAGAACCATATATGTGAAATTACAAGAGATACTGCCTGAGAAGAAGTCTGGGTAAATTCAAAAGTCAAACTGTTGTCACCTGCTGCCACTCTCCATCCACTTCTTCCTTCCACAATGTCACGTTGTTACTGCCATCTGCCACGGCAAGTATGTTTCCTGTCAGTGACCATGAGACTCTCCAAACAGGGGTCTTGAAATCCTTCAAAACTTTACCCTCCCATTGATCACCCTCCTTCATCACTGTCCATATGATAACTCTTCCATCTTGAGAAGCACTAGCAATTGTTGACTTTGGGAGTCCCAAATTGGGTGCCCATGCAACATCTCTTACCCAATCAGTATGCATTTGAAGAGCTGGGAAGCAGTCCATCTTCCAGATTCCGTTATAAAGCTTCCACACTTTCACCGCATTATCACATCCTCCAGAGGCAAGCTTCTGAACAGGATCGAGCACACCAGAACCTACAAGAGCACCGGGACCTGTTGATGGTGCCCACGAGACAGAGGTAACGCCAACCGGGTGAGCCTGGTCAATCTGGGATGTATCCCAACTGCCATCAGACCTCGCAGTGAAAATTGATATGTTCCCATCTGAGGATCCACATGCCAAACAAAGGCCCAGCTCATGAGGAGCCCATGCAATAGAATTCACAGAAGCTTTATGGTCACCGAAAAGATGGGCCTGGCTCCACTCATTCTGATTCCCTTCCCTCCATATTATGACTTTTCCATCATAGGAGCATGACGCAACAAGGGACCCAAACTTGGGGTGTGCCCATGCTACTTGCCATACTGGTCCTTGGTGACCGCTTAAAGTTGCAAGAGGCTGCGAGTTTGAGTTACTAACACCAATTATCTTAATGGTGTTATCTGAAGAAGCCGTTGCAAGACGCTTGCCATAGTAGTCCATTGCCACATCATGCACTGTATCCTGGTGACCAGTCTCAATCTTTTGTCCTGGCATCTTGTTAACCAAGTTAAATGAAAATGAGACAGCCTTCACCCCTCCAATTTGCTAGCTCTCAGCACCTTTGACAGCCTGTTTGAGCAAAATTATGTTTAAGAAGAAGTTTCAGGGCTCTACCAAATGTAGAAGTTTACGCACTTCGGCCAAGCTAACAGCAGCATGAACTTGGCTAAGAGATTTTCATTTCATCAGGCATTCTTTATGTTGCATAAATACGACTAATCTTCATAAACATAAAATGACCAGTAAATCAGGTATCATAGGCTTCGGAGGCAGTATTCACGAAAAAAGAAAGAGTTAAATTGTTGCCATGTGCTCCAACTCACTCTGTTACCCACAAAAAAGATAAAACATGGACAACATAAAATGGAAAATTGAATTCAGGTAAAGGAAAAAATTTTCAAACTTATTGCTCTATTGCAGGATGAAGAAATTTTCAAATGAATGAATGAATGATGGTTTCCAATATACAGGATGGAAACGATGATAAATTGTCAGATAATGTGCAACAAAAGTCAATCTACTGCCAATAACTACAAATTGCTTAACATTAGTATGAATCTTCAGCACTGAGAGCAGGTTTACTTCTGATAACCAGAAACACAACTGTATGTAAGAAATTTAGCAGAAAATAGGACGGAATTTATAAGCAGGAACTAATTGACAGGTTAGAGTTTATTGCGTTGCCACTCATTGATCAAGCTATACAGTAATGAAAAACATCAATGTACTAGCTTGATCTTAGTCTGTATGAGAATGCTAGGTACTCGGTGGGAATTACTGCTCAAGGCTGACAACACGCGGGACATCGAAATTAGTTCCACAGAACTACTAAAGTTGATGTAGTAGTAAAAGCAAAGGCAGAAAATGCAAGAAGAAAATCCTGTAATTCCATCCAATTTTCAAAAACCCTACTCCATAAATTTGGATAACTAGTTCGTGCTTTAATATGAGATTCAGAAATGTCATGAGCCCAAAATGCAACAATAAGTAACATTACCATACATGTCAAACAGACATCAATAAGTAACTCACAATTCAGTTCAAAACCATGCTAATGCACTTTAAAAATAAGATAAGATATTGGTGTACCCTTTCATCCAAGAAGGTTTGAAAAAAAAAATTTCTACAAGACATGACAGTGCCATCTTAGAATTTCCCAGACCTCCTTTAAATCAAATTGGTATTCTAATCATCTAACTGAAAATTACAACTACAAGCATATCAAACAAGAAAAGTAAGAGGAAAAAGGATATCAAGTACGCTTTTCTAAGATATCATCCAATAATCTTTTCATCGATGATCAGTAATTAGCCTAACCAAATTTGTGACTTTTGGCCAAGTCAATCTGCTCAACAAGTGGTAAGGAACAACAAACCGAACCAAAAATAAAGGTTTTTCTAGTTTGTACCTTTTTCCCAATTCCCTTGAACCATCAGTGACTTAGATTGATAGATTTTCTAAATTTCTAGACACTAGACATTACACTCAAACTCAAGTTGATAGAACCCTCAAGCACAGAAACCAATCAGGAAAACAACCAAAAAAAAAAAAGCTATTCAAATCGATTATCGAAAACACTAATAGGTAATATGTGGGTTTCAGACTGGCAAAACTAAAGAGACGAAGAGGGAAGAAGTTACACGCCAAGATCTCTGCTGAAATGCCTCCACTCGTGTCAAGTTGTCCCCGACTTCGCGATGGCACAATTCTGCCGCTGCCGTCTAATATAATGCACTCTGAGCTTGCTAAAAGGCCCGTTACAGGTGATTTGTTTTGGGCCCAACTTAGAGCCTTAGCATTGACCAAGGCCCATTACCTGTAATATATTTAAGCGCCAAAAAGATACTACCATTTAATACTTCTCGAGCTGAACCAAAAAGAAATGTACTTTTCAAAATAAAAACTAAAATTTGGTTTGTGCCTTAACATAGTCTATTTTCTCATTTATTATAAATTTATATAAATATAAATAATTTAAATATAAAAAATAACAACAATCCTATATATTCATTCATATTAATTTTAAAATTTAATGTATTCTAAATATTCAATTATTTATTAATTTTAAAAAAAAAATTCGCATACTTTCACTATAATATGATAGTATATATCAAACAATGTATTTCATATCAAAATTTTGATATTTATAAATATTTTTTTTTTAATTTAAATTTGGATTAATCACAATTAATCCCCCTAAAGTATACCTTATTTCTCACTTTACCTCCTAACCATTTTTTTGTCTCACTTTATCCCCTATTGAACAAAATTATCCCTCTACTATTCTAAACTCTTATTTTTCTCTTTTATTTTTTTTCCTTTCCCCTTTTGTGCTCCTTTATTTTCTTTGCCTCTTTTTTCTTTTTTTAATTCTTTCACTTTCTCACAAAAAATCTTCATCTTAATGATTGAAATTTAAAAAAAGAAATTGCAGAGATCTATTTTCTCCTTAAATGATTACAAAATATTCAAACCACTTTCCTAAAATACAATTTTTTTTCAAATTCTTTCAATTTTGGTTTTTCCTCTTTTCTTTTTAGTTTCTCATTTTATTCTCAAGAAAATATCATAAGATGAAATTGTGACCTGATTAATAATCATCAATTGAAATTTGTGACATGTGGCATCATACAAAAAATAAAAATTAGTTTTGATGCCTTTTAAACTTTCACCAAAAAATGCAATTATAAATTCAAGATAAAAATTTTCGTTGAGATGGAGTTTTCTACTAGGAAGGATGAAAGAGAGAAGAAAGAAGAAAGAGAAAAAGAAATAAAAGAGAGGAAAAAAGATAAATGAATAATCAAAATAATAGAAGGGTAATTTTGTCCTATAGGAGGTTAAGTGAGCAAAATTAAAGGTGATAAATTGTTAGATAATGTGCAAAAAAAGTCAATCTAGTGCCAATAACTACAAATTGCTTAACATTAGTATGAATCTTTCCTGCACTAAGACCAGGTTTACTTCTGATAACCAGAAACACAACTGTATGTAAGAAATTTAGCAGAAAAGAGGACGGACTTTATAAGCCGCAGGGCCAATTGATCAGAATATTATTAGATGACAAAAAAATCGGTCAAATATGGTGGCTTGGCTGCTTGGTATCAATATATGCCCATCGTGACGCACGATGGGCAATTTTTTTTTTTTTTTTAAAGCTTTCTGGCCTTGCGCCATATAGGAGCAATGGCCAGAGAATTCAGAATTTAAAAAAAAAAAAATCTTTCTGGCTGTCACGCCATGTAGGAGTGACGGTAAGAGAATTTAGAATACCAAGCATGAAAAAATCTAGCATCCTTTAAAATGCTAAAATGAAAAAAGTACCTTTTAAAAAGTATTTTAAAAAAAGAGATAAAACTTTTATTCCATAAATACCCTTTAATGCATGTATATAAGTCGTATTAGTAAAAGAATAAAAACAATTAAGACTTAGGAATAGTTAATAAACACATTTAACCACCTAAAAAGTTCACATTTAATAAATTAGACAATACAAATAAGTAATAAAACTATACTAATGATTATAAAATTCAGTAAAATAGACTAATCATCTCTTTTAATTTAATGTTTGCTGTGATTCTTATGATTTTGAACTGAAAAATTTCAAATTTTATTATTCTTTTCCCTTATTTCTCCGTTATTAATTAAATGTGAATATATAGTTCTAGATTTATGGTCATCTTAAAAATTTAAATTATCTAAAAGAATATTTATAAAAAATGAATGTCTATCAAATTTTTGATATGTGATACATTGTTTGATATATACTATTATATTATAGTGAAAGTGTGCAAACAAATTTTTAAAAATTAATAAATAATTGAACATTTAGAATACATTAATTTTTTAAAGTTAATATGAATGAATATGTAGGATTGTTATTAATTTTCTTATTTAAATTATTCATATTTATATAAATTCACAATAAATGAGAAAAGAGACTCTGCTAAGGCACGGGAAAATTTTAGTTTTTGTTTGGAAATGTACATTTATTTTTGGTTGGGTGAGAACTATTAAATATCTTTTTGGGCCCAGATAAATTACACGTAATGGGCCTTGATCAATGCTCAGGATTTACGTTCGGCCCGAAACAAATCACCCGTAACCGGCCTTCTAGCAAGCTCAGTCTGAGTTGCTCAGAGGGTGTTATTCGAGACGGCAGCGGTGGAATTGTGCCATCGCGAAGTCCGGGAGACAACTGGACTCGAGTGGAGGCGTTTCAGCAGAGATCTTGGTGTCTAAGTCTTCACTCTTCGTCTCTCTAGGTTTGCCGGTCTGAAACGCAAATTTTACCTACTAGTCTTTTCGATAATCGATTTGAATAGCCTTGTTTTTATTTTTTTTTCGTTGTTTTCCTGATTGGTTTCTACTTTCTATGCTTGAGCGTTCTATCAACTTGAGTTTGAGTATAATGTCTAGTGTCTAGAAATCTAGAAAATCTATCAATCTAAGTCACTGATGGTTCAAGGGAATTGGAAAAAGTTTTTTGGTTCGGTTTGTTGTTCCTTACCACTTGTTGGGCAGATTGACTTGACCAAAAATCACAAATTTGATTAGGCTAATTACTAATCATAGTTGAAGAGATTATTAGATGATATCTTAGGAAAGCGTACTGGATACCCTTTTTCCCCTTACTTTTCTTGCATAATATACTCGTTCGTAGTTGAAATTTTCAGTTAGATGATTAGGATACCAATTAGATTTAAAGGAGGTCCGGGAAATACTATGACGGAGCTGTCGTCATGTCTTGTAGAAATTTTCTTTTTTATACCTTCTTGGATGAAAGGATACACCAATATCTTATTTTATTTTTAAAGTGCAGTAGCATGGTTTTGAACTGAATTGTGAGTTACTTATTAATGTCTGTTTGACATGTATGGTAATGTTACTTATTGTTGCTTTTTTTGGGCTCATAACATTTCTAAATCTCATTTTAAAGCATGAACTAGTTATCTAAATTTATTGAGTATGATTTTTGGAAATTGGATGGAATTACAGGATTTTCTTCTTGCATTTTCTGCCTTTGCTTTGACTACTTCATCAACTTTAGTAGGTCGCATTTTCTGCCTTTGCTTTGACTACTTTATCAACTTTAGTAAGTCGGTGGAACTAATTTCGATGTCCTGCGTGTTGTCAGCCTTAAGCAGTAATTCACACTGAGTACCTAGCATTCTCATACAGACTAAGATCAAACTAGTACATTGATGTTTTTCGTTACTGTATAGCTCGATCAATAAGTGGCAACGCAATACACTAACCTGTCAATTAGTTCCTGCTTACAGCCTAAAATCTTTATAATCACACCATGAGAGCCCGAATTCTTGGATTAGCGGCCTGGTACACGAAGCTTCTGAAAAAATCTGTCACACTTGAAGAACTGGGCAGATCTTTGGTGGCGAAGTGTCTCATTCAAATGGAGACTAAAGTCCTCCCAAATAGGAGGACTGAGCCTGGTTCCGTGAAAATCGTGGTTCATCCATCCACGTTTCAAAAACTACATCTGGCCGAGCACATTCCGTACTCTTTCAAAGACTTGTTCGAAGACCCAGATGAAACCAGGACAAAAAAGTTTTCTGATTTACTGTTTTTATTGTCAATTTTAGAATACGGTGGGTTATTAGCTGGAATCAAACTTGAAACCGACGAAGGAAAGGCTCTCGTAAAGAATCTGTTCGGCGGATATGAGGTGGATTCAAACATAGCTGACTTTGATATGGATTCCGAGCTGCAAATTATCGAGGCTTTGATATTAAAACTTAAAAAAGGTTCCGCTCAAATCCTCGGCAGGGAAGAAGAGTCTGAAGGAAGTAGTGGAGAAGAAACTGAAGGGATTGGTGCATAGGTGGTTTAGTTTAACTTTCGTTGGCTTTGTTTTTTGTTGTATAATCAGTCTTCTGTTCTTAACTTGTGAAAATGCTTGGTACCAGACATGGTTTCTGCTTTTGCCAAGGTTTCATGTTCGTTGGCTGCTTTTTTTCCTTTTTTCCTCATCATTGTCTAATCCCTAAATTCTGTTAGCTATCTGAAACTCTAAATGGAATGGGATTCCTTGATTAAGAATTGTCATCCTGCGTTTTTGTGTGATTCCTTATACATTTACATACATTTCAGTGATTAAAATTTAGCTTTGAATACCAGTTAGTCACAAATGTATCTAATTACTAGCAAAAATTTTAAAAATGTATATTAATTTTACATATATGGATTCTTATTCATGAATTTTGTCGCATATAAACTGCATTTAATTTACATATAAATATTCATATATTAGCTTACACATGTTGTTCGTCAACAAATTTGAGCAAGCATTGAATTTTCATTGTACATAGAATTATACTAATTTGCAGTTTGAAAAATATAGGGTCTATTTGGATAGCTTGTTTTTGGGACTGTTTTTGAAAAACTGTTTTTCACATTCCAAATGCTACAATAAATGTGTATTTCAAAAACAACTCCAAAAACACCATATCCAAACAATATATCAAAAACAACTCCAAATAAATATTTAATATGTTTATTTCAATTTTTATATTTCAATTATGTATAGGATATATATATATATATATAATATTAATTTAAATATATTTATTTATACATATTATAAATATTTTATTTTATAAATAAATATATATTGGATAAAATATATTTTTATATATTTATATAAATATTATATATTATAAATTATATAAATGATATATAATAATATGTAATTATACATGTATAAAAATATTATATATTATATATATTTGATATATACATAATATATATTATATATATTATACATTTATATAAATGTACATTTATACATAATATATATATTTATGTATATTTATAATATACTTTTATATTATGTATTATATATAATATAATACATTTATAATATATTTATACATTTATATTAATATACATAATATTAATTATACATTTATATTTAATATATTAATACATTTATACATAATATTAACATATATTTATAATTTATTAATTTATACATTTATATAATATTCATTTATAATTTATACACATTTATACATTTATAAATATATTTATATTATGTATCATATATAATATATTTATTATATATATATATATTTATATGTATTATAAATAAATATATTTATTTATAAATATTTATAAATGTATTATAAATGCATAAATGTATATAAATATAAAAATATAAAATTTATAATCTATAATTTATACATTTATATAATATTCATTTATAATTTATACACATTTATAATAATATACATTTATACATTTATAAATTTATAAATATATTTATTTATAAATTTATTATAAATGCATAAATGTATAAAAACATAAAAATTATAAACTATAAATTATAATTTATACATTTATATAATATTCATTTATAATTTATACATAGGGGTGCAAACGAGCCGAACCGAGTCAAACATTGAACTTATCGAGCCAGACTCGACTACTGTATATTCGAGTTCGAACTCGAGCTCGAGAAAATTGAGCTCGAGCTCGACTCGACTAAGTAAGAAACTGGCTCGAGTTCGACTCGATAAGGCTCGACAAGAGCTCGAAATGGCTCGAATTCAGCTCAAAAATTTCTATCACTAAACATAACCAGCTTTATTTAACCCGACTCCAATAGCACGTTTTAACCTATTCAATGCCTTGCAAACTTGAATATAACAATTCCAAACATGAATTAAAAGTAACAACAAACAAGTTTTTCATTGTCCAATAAATGAGATCAATTTTTTTTTCAATAACAGCCCATCTAGTAACAGAAATATAACAGAAATGAAAGAAAAAGGAACATCCTGAAGCATACAAAGTGCTCCACACGATTAACTCTGTTGAGAAAGTATGAAACAACTTCTAAGCAAAAGGAACATCCTGAAACATACAAAACTGAGCCTAAAACATAAACAGCAAAAAAACCCAAATTGCAGCTAGTAAACTCTTTTCCTAATGTCTATAAACTCCTGTTTTCCCAGGTTTGGAATATTAAATGTAGTGCAACGCAAATCCAATCGTAACATAAGCCAAGATTATGTAAAATAAAAAAAATCATATCAAAGATTATGTTTAATTACCTTCTTAGTTGAGTTTTGCATATTTACTCTTACCCTTGACTAAATATCATCAAAGTCATTCCATTTACTCTTAGTGCACAAATCTGTCATATCTTTAACATTTATACTTTCTCCTATCACCAGCAGCCGAAAAGGCCATTTATACTTTAACATTGATTAAGTTCACTAAGCACATAATTTCTAAACGCAATCCAGCTTGCATTTTCTAACAGGACAAGCTAAAAATTACCCCAGAATGAGAAAATAAAAAGTGAACAATCAAAAACTACAAACCAAAATTATTTCAATCAAACAGAAGGTATATTCCATGAAAATGTATGTAAGAAGTTAAAAAAAGAAACCCAACGTTCTTACCAATCTTCAAAAACCGTCCTAAATCCAAACTCAAAAAAAAAAAAAAAAATAAGGAGAAAAAAATACATAGACAAAAACGCTTGTTCCAACTTCCAATCAATATCAGTACAATCTTAATTCACCGAATACCTGAGAAGAGACAAATTTTTTTTTTCGGCTAATTGATTGAAATTGGGGACGGAAATGGGAAGGAAGAGGCGATCTAAGTCTAACGAGAGCTCCAGCTCCGTCGCCATTAACAGGAAAGAGGAAATTAATAGTAATAATTTTACATCTATACATTCTACAACAGGAACGAGGTGAAGAAGTCGATCTGGCTTTAATGACAGGAAACAATCACTTATTCTACCACCAAGCATCATTATACAGCAACAAAAACAGAGAATAAGGGAATAAGAGTGATGGATTACCTGTTCGCGAGGCCCTCCACCAATGGAGCTGATGAAATGTCTACCGTAGCTGAGTCTAACGTTGGCCAACAAACTGGGACTCGGAGAGAAAGGGCTCTTCAATTGAAGGACGGCAGTGGTGGTGGCAGAAGTGGCCAACTGGTGAGTGGTGAAAACAGTGGTAGCGGCGGCTAGGGTTTGCTTTTGATTTGGGGAAAGAGGAATGCCGAGTTGCCGACAGCGGAACAGCCGAGTGGGAAGAAGAAAGAGGCGTGTTTGTGTTAGGGGTGTCCGCTGTCTTGGTCCTTAGTCCTTTGAGAAATTGTATCTAGTTTCTAGTTTAGTAATTAGTTAAATAAGTAGGGGTATTTATGTAATTTTACACGGCTCGCGAGCTCGCGAGGCTCGAACTCGACTCGTATTATAAACAAGCTGGCTCGAACTCGATATTGACTGAGCTCGAGTCGAGCGTTGACCGAACTGCTCGCAAGCAACTCGATTCGTTTGCACCCTGTTTATACATTTATAAATATATTTATATTATGTATTATATATAATATAACACATTTATATATTTTTATATAAATAAATTTATTTATAAATATTTATAAATATTTATAAATATATTATAAATGTATAAATGTATATTGTTATAAAAATATAAAAATTATAAATTATAAAAATACTCGAAAATATGTTTTAAAAATACATCAAAAAATAATCCATAAAACATCTATAGTAGAAGTTTGGAATATAGTTTTTGAAAAATAATTCCAAAAATAACTAATTTAAACGGACTTGTATTTGAAAAACGAAATGCTACAGTGTTGTTTTTGAAAAACAACCCTAAAAATAGCTAATCCAAGCATAGCCATAATAATCTTCCATTTCCACTTTGAAATTTTGATCTTCCTAACTTAAATGTTATTAGACTCCACAGCAAAATCATTAAGTTATAAAACCAAAATCTTTGATTAGGATTAGTGCAATAAAATCGTTTAGATATCTCTTCCAAGAAATAAAGAGCAAAGAAAAGAGTGAAAGAAAGAAAGAGGGCAGCTAGTGCAGTGAATTTGTATGGCCTTTCGTTTCACTTTTGCTACAAAATTCATGTCCCCAAATACATCCCATTTGCTGGTCCTTTTTTTTTTTGCCGCTTGTCCCCAGCCGTGCCCAATTAGCCCCGCTGGGGACAGGCTAATTTAAAAAAAATTATAGGCCGCTGATCCACTGACATTTTTGCAGAGTTTCTGACAATTCGTTCTGCGGTCGTGCCCAGTCAGCACGACAGGTATAGAATGAGAAATGGTATGTGTCAGAAATACATTTGTGCGATGTTTTTTTTTTTACATATATTCTAAGCAATTAGCCAAGCTTCTGTGAGCCAAACTATGTAGATATTCCACACCTCTTGCAACGTCTAAAGTAATAGATAACCTTCTTGTCCATGATAAAGGTTCTAGGTTCAGGTTCTTCCACCGAAAGAGATGTCTACTTAGAGCCCCTTGATTCATTAACCATATAGACTAAGGGCGGAGCCACGGGATCCACGTCGGACGTGGTCGTCCTCCGCGTGGCGGCTGGGGATTCATTTGTTTGATGCTGGCGTGGAGCGGATGCGTTCTTTATTTTTTCCCCCGCACTGTTTTCTTCTTTTCTTTCTTTCTGCTCAGTGGGAGGCTGGCTGAGGTCGTCGGTCACCTCTCTGCCACTTCGTCAGTCTCCTCTGTACCAACTCCACCAACTCCAAGCTTTTCCTCCTTGTGCACTCGTCTTTGCAGTCCAAGTTTTACCCTCAATTTCACCCTCCCCTCTGCTGTTGTGCTTCCTCCGCATTTTCACCCTCACCTTGCTGTTCATTTTATGCCCTTACACGTTTTCCACCTTGTGAGACCCGTCTTTCATTGGTCCTGTTTGCCTGCATCCGTTAGGTTGGCCCCGTCAGGTGCCTCTCTGCTCACTGAGCCAGCTCGTCTCTGCCGGCTCCATCTTCCTTCTGGCTACATCAACCACCTCCACTTCTCCATTTTTTTCTTCTTTGAAAGCCTACCTTTTCATTTCTTTTTTTTTCCTTTCTTCTTTCTTCCTTTACCCACGGGACCAAAACAGAAAAATGCAGACGATTCCTTTGTCTCACATCTTGGTTGGAGAGTGTTCGTCCAACTTGTTTTCATTTTTCCTCTTTCATTGTTTCTCTGTTTTTCCTTCTAACTGACTAACTGATAACGTCTAATTCTAATTCTATTCTAACAAGACCTAAACTCCTAAACTAAGCCCTAGGGTTCTTGACGTCGCGCCATCGTTTCTCCAAACCCCTCAGGCAACGAAATGGTAAGGCGGCTCTTCACCACCAAGTTATTTCTGTCTTCTCGATGATGATTGTTACTGATACACATATATGCAGATGCTGCATTCTAATTTCCAATCTTTCGTTTGGTTTTGAAAAAATTGACATATCTCTGACATTTTGAGTTCTTTGTGTTGTCATTGATGGATGATTTTTTCTGTTTTGAAGGCTCCAAAGAGAGGTGCGAGGGCTCCAGCTGCAGTGGCGAGGAGGAAAACCGAGAAGGTGGCCAATCCTCTGTTCGAGAAGCGTCCGAAGCAGCTCGTAATTCGAGGAGCCCTCCCACCGAAGAAGGATCTCACCAGGTTCGTCAAATGGCCTCTCAATGTCCGGATCCAGAGGAAGAAGAGGATCCTCAGGCAATGCTTGAAGGTCCCTCCGGCGCTCAACCAGTTCTCCAAGACTCGACAAAAATCTTGGTCGCCTCTCGCTCACTCGCTTTTTATTTATTATGATGTTTCCCTTTTTTCTTAATGTTATACGATGATTTTTATCGGGACTCTGAGTTCTTCACCTTGATTGCACCATCTTGACAACCCTGGTCTGGTATTTGACTGCTGTAAAGAAAAATCCAGTTATTTTCTTGACATAAATCTGTGCTTTCTCGCATATTGATCACCTATTGCACTTGTAATCATACTTCAAATGCTTACTCATTCTTATTCCCCCCCTTTCTCTCTGATGATTGCGTAGAATAGGATCCCATGGTTGAGCAGGGCAAACGGTGTTGCTGTAACTGAATAGGAAATGAAATCTTTACGTAAATTTAAAAATCATTCTTTTATGGTTCTTAGCCAACTGGATATGCCAAATGTGGTAAATAGAAAGAAATTGAGGTTGCTCGGATCATAATATTTGTACATGGTAACTGTACATTGTCTTCCCCTATAATCTCTTGGATGACTAGAAACTGAGTCGTAATGTGTCGCTCTATCTGTTGTCATGAAATTGGTTAAAGCTAATAATTTGCTGTGGTAGATTCAAGGGAGTCTCTAAATTTGTCCCTATCTTAATAATACCAGTCAAGGAGATATCCTGTTTCCTTTCAGGGTTGCCATTTCGCTGCTTCATTTTTTCTCTTGCCAATGTATGTATTTTCTGATGCTCCCATTGATATGCAGCAACAAATCTGTTCAAGATGCTTCTCAAGTACAGGCCTGAGGACAAGGCAGCCAAAAAAAGAGCGTCTTCTCAAGAGAGCTCAAGCTGAGGCTGAAGGGAAAGCTTCTGATGCTAAGAAGCCAATCGTTGTCAAATACAGTTTACAGCATGTGACGTGCCTTGTTCAGCAGGTCTTTATCGTACTTTTCTTCTATATTCTTGTTGACCTTGGTCGATCAATCCTTGGTTTTGATGATTAACAAACCAAAATGTAGATTTGGTCTAATGTTTTTATGTGAGAAATTTGTTAGAATCAGGTTCAATGGTGTCAAGGAAAGAAAACCAACCAAATGAAGAAGCAAAATCAGGTCACTCATGTCGGACGGCCAAAAGGAAACTATCGGACGTCCGAAAGGATGAAGAACATCAAGAAGGAAACTCTGTCGGACGCTCGTGAGGAAGCATCGGACGTCCGGAAGGATCGGACGCACGCCTCGGACGCACATCGATCGCATCGGACGTCCGAGAAATTTCGCAAAGATTTGATGACTCTCTGCCTACGTTCGGACGCAGGGTTCGGACGTCCGACAGGTGGTTCGGACGTCTGACAGGCACCTGTCGGACGTCCGACAGGCCAACGGCTAGTTTTGACAGCAATTAATATTTGACCGTTGGAGAGTCTTTTGGAGCCATTTCTCACCTTCTATAAAAACCCCAAAGCACAAGAAGACTAGAGACTTTTGCCAACACAAAATACAAGCTTACAAGTGAGATTTTTGAGTAGAAAGATTCTTTGTTGGTTGTATAAGGGGTTGGGGAAGTTGGGTTGTGAGGTTGCTCAAGTGAAGGTTACTCTCTTGGAGTAGTAAAGCCTTGGTGAAGGTGAACCAATCACTTGGAGTGGTAAAACCTTGGTGAAGGTTGTCTCATTTGTATAAAATAGTTCTTAATTGGGTGAGTGATCTTTCAAGTGTAGGTTGTTGAGGGTTAACTAGAATAGTTGTAAAACTCCTTGGTTCAACCAAAGAGTATTTGGGGTGAGGAAGGAGTGAGCCTTCACTTGTACATCTTGGTTAGCATCGCCATCAATTGAAGAGGCTATTGGTTTGATATTTGGTTTGCATTTCTTATCTTTTCTCTTTAATTAAGTTTTCTTTATTGTGCTTAAATTTGATATATCTTTGTGCATCATTGTGAATTTGTTTGTACTCATTGGGTTGCACCGGGCTCTTACAATTCTGTTGGTTTTCTGTAGTGTCTCACTCTTGGTAGTACAAGCTGTGGCTCATAGAAATTATTTTCTGCAGAACAAGGCACAATTGGTTGTTATTGCTCACGATGTGGACCCAATCGAGTTGGTTGTTTGGCTTCCTGCTTTGTGCAGGAAGATGGAAATTCCCTATTGTATTGTGAAGGGAAAATCGCGATTGGGAGCGGTAAGTTTCCGTGTTTGTGGAGCCTTTTTGGACGCTTTTATTGTAGCCAGGACTGATGTAATTGACACTCTCTCGCAGATTGTTCATAAGAAAACTACATCAGTCTTGTGCCTGACCTCAGTGAAGAATGAAGATAAGTTGGAGTTCTCAAAAGTTTTGGAGACCATTAAGGTGATACGTAATTTCCTACAGGTTGTACAAGTAATGATATTGTGATTCAACTTAAGGGGACATAGCTATAACAAAATATGTGTGTTATACACTAATATGTATTATTACCTTTTAAGATGGCTTTTCTTTCCACCTCATTTATCACATATATTCAATAGATGATTTTACCTTTTCTTAATCTCTTTTTTCCAATTTACCTAATTCAATATGTATTGTCAGGTTCTCTATACTGAGCTGACGAACATTATGATTTGGTATCTAACATTTGACAGTTAGTTAAGGTACTTTCTGTCATACTCTTTGTTCTTTAATAGTTATCAAGAAATTGTGGGCCTTTTGCAATATGTATGTGTTTTGTTTGTCCACTGCAACTATGTATTATCAGGAATTTGTATTTAATTATATGCTTTTGGTATTATGTTAAATATGTTCTAAGTGATACGAAATAGGACTCTACTTCTTCTAAATTTTCAAGTCTCAACTTGTGCACTGATTATTAAAACCATTGACATTCATGTATTTGCTAATACTTGGGTGTTCGATTTTAGTTTGCCAAGTTTCATATCTGTTAATTTCAATGAATTCATTTGAATGAAGACAATAAATAATGCTTTGCATTTGATGCTTGCAAATAATCAGTGATTCATTCCACTGGGGCAGATCTTGCTTTATTTTTTTTAATCTTTAATCCCTTTTTAAAAACTAGAAGTGAGATTTTTTGTCCGTCATAAGTCTCTCAATTTGTAAACCTTCCAATATATAAGTTGTTGACTGGAATTGTTTACAGCCTAGAGGGGCTTGACTTTTGATGATAATTTCATGGGACTTCAAAAAATTAATGATAAATCTCATTTTGTGCTTGTGAAATGAATGGTGGAATTTTCTCTTTCTGTGAGGCAGAAGTGTTGTTTGGATTTAAGCATTTGTCTTCTATTATTTTCTTTAATATGCTTTTAGTACTTCTGGAATTTTCTTTAATTAGCCAGTTCTCAGCCTTTTCATTTGCATGCTGTACAGGATATTTTTCGGTTGACTTTAGCTGCATTCGAGAAGTTGTCGCTTTTCTCTTGTCGCTGTTATGCTAAAGCTTTGCACATTCTTGAAATCGTTGTGAAGGTCAAATGCTGCATCATCTTGCTGGACATAGGCTGCGACTCGTTGGTCACTAAAATCTTTGAAATCCTTCTAAGTACCATTAAGTAAGCCTAAGATGTTACAGCTAATTTTTAATATGTATTTTTATTGTCAAGACATTTTGATTAACTGCCTTTTCTCTTTGGATTTTGTAGTAATTGATATTTGTTAGCTTCTTTAAATTAACTCTAATACTAACAATTAAGGTTATCTTGAATTCGAACTTGTAATAGCATTCCCATTATGTTCAACCTTCTTTCCTGCAAATATGATCTGCTTTCAACTTGGTGAACTCCTCATTTAGCAGCAATGAAATTGAAAATTTTGCTGGACTCATGGCAAACCTTTATTATTCGTTGTCGAGTGATCAACTCATGGTATGCAATGCAACTTGCCTAACGGAGTAATTTAGAAAGTATACCAAATTAAACAAATTAGAGGTATTCATTTGCTAATCTTGCACCTGTCTCATGCAAGTCAACACATTCAATTGTCATGCACTGATTGTTGTTCTGTGTTTGAATGTCTAATACAAGGTTCAACCACCCAGAAGCTGTATTCTCATACATGGAAGATATTATGACTTGGCTTTTAGATGAGAGTGATGACATCCCATTGGGTCTTTTAAAGCCGCTTCTAGCTAGTGTGAAAAAGGAAAACCAGGTACCCTTCCTTATATAGATCTCTGTTTCATTTATTCTTGTTCTTGTTTTATTATTACTCAGTTACCTTTATTGTTTGCCTCAGATTACTTCACCCGTTTCCTCTTGGTTAGGAGAGAAAGTATTTAAGAACTGCTCAACTAAAGTAAGACCTTATCTTATGAATGCAGTGAAGTTGATGAGGCTAGATATTAATGATTATGCCGATATAGTTGCTTCATTATGCCGAGATATGCCAGCTGGGGACAATGTGGTGCGATATCTTCTATCCTTCAACTGACTTCTTTTTTGGCAAAAGGCAGATGTAGTTATGATCTGTACTCATCTCCAAATGTTCATGCTTGATTCTGATATAGTTTTTCGTTGCTTATTGTATTTGTGATGATGGAAATACGTTTGGACTTCCTAAAATTTCTTGTTCGTTCTCCTTCACTTTGTGTATAATGAGACATTAGAAAATATACTAGCACTCATCTTCCCATAACTAATAGCAAAATTTGAAGTCATTCAGTAAGTTAATCAACTTTAAGAAGTAACTTATGCTGTCAGTGGTTGTTCATTCAAATTATGTTATGTGTCCCAGATGTGAGACTGAATCTGTTGTCTCTCATGCATCAGGAAGCTTTTTTAGTCTTTAAGTTTGGAGTTCTTTAAGTTGCAAAGTTGACTTTTTCCTGAAGATGAGAAAAAGGTTCTTGTAAGCAAAATTAGCAGACCAGGCATATCAAATGGTTGGTATTCCCCTTAGACCGGATCTATCATTCATCTACATGTTTTCTTTCTTCTTTTTTAATCAACAAAAAGAAGAAAACAAAGAAGGCACTTTAATGTTTTTTTGTTTAGTTTTTGTTTCTTTCTTTATTGTCTTGAATTTGCAGTTACTCACAATCACATTTTGCTTCTCATAGATTGAGGACAATGGATTGAAAGTCCACGAGAAGGAGAAAAAGAATAAACTTTCCAGGTTGTGCGATTTTTTTAAATTTATTTTTCAGTCTTTTTCCAATTTTACTTTAGCCTTCAAATTTTTGTTTTCGCTTTTTTTTTTTTTGTAAGAAAAGTTTCTGTAAGAAGTTTCATGGGAAATCTTGCAATTCCGCAATGGGAATCTGCCAGCCTTCTGATTTCTGATCTTCCATTTCGTCCATGTAATAAGAGGAGAGGCATCTAATAATCTTTTTTATAATTAATATCTGAATTTGTTTGGATCATAACATTTAAGGGCTTTGATATGCTAATGGCTTATTTTCTAAGATCAAAGCTCTTTGGGAAGCTGCAGTAAGGATCGCAGGCTGTATAAAATGTTATTTGGAAGGTCTAATGCATGCATTCTGCTTTCTGGTACAATTTGATAAAAAGATGTTGCATATGCAAGGTGAATGCTGCTCTAAGTGTTTGCATAACCAATTGGACACCTTGCATCCCTCTGGTCTCCTTGAATGTTTAGCTGTGATCATACTGCTTCTCAAAAGCAGTCAGACAGTTAGATATGGTGTGTTACCAGGGATTCTTAAATCATTTTCCAGGTGTTTGAAACTCAACCTTTTACGCTCTAAGGATTCATTCTCGCCACTATTACTAGCTAAACGTTAATTGGGCATGTATACCACCGCGCACAGCGCGGTGTTACCACCTAGTATATTCATAAACAAGTAGCCTCTCATTTCCTTCCATAGAGTAACCGAGAAGGGAAACCAGATGACGATGCCGGACCTTGGAGAGAACTTCATTTCTGCCTGGAATTCCTTCAAAGCCTTGATGGTAATTGTCCCTGCTTCCATTCTCTTCACTGCTATCTGAGTTCCATCTTCTAGTACCCCTTCATTGCTATCTTCTAGTTCTATCTGAGTTCCATCTTCTCTTCACTGCTACCTGAGTTTTTTGCTTCATATTTTTTTTTTCATCGACTTGTGTAACTAGACCAGCCTTTTTCTTTTGACTTTTTGCAACTGCTTCCAGGCTGTCAGTGCTTTTTTTAGAAAAAAAAAATTGACTTTTGGGCAGCAATAGTTCAAGACCACACCATTGTCAGAGTCATAAATCATAGATGTCCGATTTTTCTTTTTTTTTTTTTGACAATATTCTGAGTAATTAGCCGCGACAAATGGACCACACTTATTTCGCTGCAAGAGTTTAAACGGTCAAATAATTTTCAACATTGATTCTAATCCGCAGAGAAACACTGCAAAATCTTGGCATGGTTTGCAACTCACAAGATAATAGTGCTGATCTTTTTACAGCGCTTCCTTGTTCCCCGAAATCAGAGAATGTTAATTAATGAGCACCATAGCTGAAAGTTCATTCTTTTTTACAAGCAGTAATGGCTAGTGTAGTCATAAAAGAATCAGCTTCTAGGGCCACAGCCCAAATATTTCCTGGTAGCAATACAAGGCAGCCGGTCCAACCAACAGATGTGATGGATGCTCGAATTGTCTGTTTAGATTCCATGCTATAACAGATTGGAACCCATAAGCTGTCCGAAAAGGCAAAGACAAATACCAACAAGTACTACAAAAATGAACTTAAGACTTGTAACGAGGTGAATAAAAATATATTAACTTCAGTAACGCAAACTGCAGGGTATAGAGAGACATTAACGAGTTGGATACCATGAGCTGTCCGAACAAGCCAGTCGCATGCTAACACAGAAATTTCAACGTAGGGGAATTAAAGTACTTGCCAGGTTTTAGGGAACTTTAACAAAAATAACACAATCTGAAATATTAAAGATGCATCCTCGTTCCTCTTTCCTTTACCAGAGATCCGAGCCAAACAAACTATCATTCCAGGTCCCATTCCCACTAGTGCTACCACCATTCTCACTCTCACTCTCTCTCATTCCCACTCCCTTTTTCTTTTTCTCTCTCATTCTCATTCTGTTCACTTTATTCGCCGCCCCTGGCCCGAACAACATGTGGACCACCACTCTTCTTAGCAGCTTGGTTCTTAACAAGTTCCTGGAGGTACTCCCTGACTGCTACAATCTGCTTGACCCTTTTCCTTTGCTCCAATGACCTATTCCGTTTCGAATATCCAAGAAGTTTGTTGGTCAATTCAACTGGACCTTCCACAGGCCCTTTTTGAATAGCTACCCGAACCCCAGCAACAGCACTTGAGGTCGACTCCAAGATTCCAACCGCTACCAAAAGTTTAAGCATTTTGTCCCTTGTAATTTCCCGTCGAGCTGCAGCTTTGAACTCCTCCACTGGGTCCTCGGCAAATTTGGCAGCTTCAGCATCCTTCAAATTAGCATCATCCTCTTTTCTGGCCTCTTCTTCAGTCTTCAAATTACGGTTATACACTAGCAATGCCTGATTCTTAGGTATCTTTCCCGATTGCACAATCTCTAGCTTCATTTTTGTAAGCAGACCAACCACGTCAGTGGCCTTAGGCAAAGGAACACGTGGCATTTCCTAGAAAGGCGGAGGAGTTCGAAGAAGAATTGGACCCATAAATAAAATAACAATAATAAAGCAAAGTAACAAATTCACATAAATTCTGCAGTTATAACCGAATCCCATGTATTCATACTGCAAATGGCAAAATACATATATGCAAGTTCTTTTGAAAGCATATAAATACATATATGCACACCAAAAGGCAAAAGGCGAAAGCCAAGAGATACCAAAAGGCAAGACTGATTAAAAACATCTAGAGCAACTTCAAATTAGCATCATCCTCTTTTCTGGCCTCTTCTTCAGTCTTCAAATTACGGTTATACACTAGCAATGCCTGATTCTTAGGTATCTTTCCCGATTGCACAATCTCTAGCTTCATTTTTGTAAGCAGACCAACCACATCAGTGGCCTTAGGCAAAGGAGCACGTGGCATTTCCCAGAAAGGCGGAGGAGTTCGAAGAAGAATTGGACCCATAAATAAAATAACAATAATAAAGCAAAGTAACAAATTCACATAAATTCTGCAGTTATAACCGAATCCCATGTATTCATACTGCAAAAGGCAATCCACGTTCTTTTGAAAGCATATAAATACATATATGCACACCAAAAGGCAAAAGCCAAGAGATACCAAAAGGCAAGACTGATTAAAAACATCTAGAGCAACTTCACTCCAAGCCTAACACAGGAAAGAAGACAAATCATTCTTCAAGTATCAAGACCAAAAAGGATGGAAATAAATTATATTAACCTAAACTAAACAACCACATCAAGGGATAAAAGAAGAAATGGCAGGTCAATGTCCAATAATAGAATCAAGGAATGGCTTTCAAGCGCTCCCTTAATTATGCACGAGGAATTGCCACATTGATTGATGCACAATGGGCAATTTCCAAAGACACTAAAATAACAGGAAATCCAAAAATCACACATAACCAAGCTTATTTGCACCAGCAAATTGTTTGATTCACTAATAATCAACAGCACAGCACATCAACACTTCACTCCACAGGCCAAACGTAAGGCACAAAGAAGTACAATCATTCGTCAAGCACCAAAAGCAAAAGGGAAGGAAATAAATGAAAATTAACCTAAGCTCATTACAACCAAATCCAGGATAAAAGAAGAAATAGCAGGCTAACATCCATAAATAGAATCAAAGAACAGACAATTTCAACTTTCAAGGTTGCTAAAAGGAGCAAGAAATCCATAAATCGTGCATAAACAAGCTTATTAGCACCAGTAAAATATTCGGTTCACTAAGCGTCAAAAAGACTTGAAGATTCAATTTATATTCAATATAGAAAATCCAAAAATGGCTTTTCAAATCACCCTGTGATGGATTGTGTAGTTTGAGATACATAAGTAGTGTTGAAAATTGTAAAATTGTAAATTTCTTTTAGGTTTGGACGTGGGATGGTTCTAAGCAGCACTAAACTGGTTAAGTATTACTGCAATTGTCTTTGTGAATTACTATCAGGAATACATTAAATTCGCAAGGCTAGACGAGCTCTTAAAGAGTCATGAGAAGCTTGGTACAAACAGAACTGGAGAAGCGCACATGCTCAAAATTCAGGTCTGCATAATTGCTGAGGTCCTAGAAAATTTACGTACCAAATGTTTGCTGAAGACGAGCAGGTGGTTTCAACAGAAAATCGGTCCAGCCACAAAAGAGCTGCAGCAAAAGCAACAGGGAACATTCAATAAAAACCTTGAACAATGGCAACCATCTGAATTTCAATGAGGCATGACATACATATTACAGCTTTAATTTGAACTACACAGCAAAGCAAAAGTAAAGATTCAAATTTAATTGCACATATTAAATCAGTCATACTTGCACACTACAAGTTTGCATTCATTTGTTTAGGTAAAGAAATCTAACAAATTATTGGCATTCACCATATCCCCATGAAGTTCAATGATATATACCACAAAAAAGAACATATGAACATAAATCACAAACCAAAAGTCCAAACTATAGATACAAAGGTAGCAAAATCATCACATGGAATCTGGTTTTCTATAGAAATAGCAAAGAAAGCAAAACGAAACTGAATATGATCAACAATATTTGAAAGCTACATGATTATAGTCAACAACATATTCATGCAACCAGAAAACTTCAAACAACGGCTAAAGATTCACTGAACTAAACTAAAAGCATAAACAAATCAAGCACAATGTTGACGGCATATTCCACAGCGAACCAAAAAAATGAAATCATAAAATTATTCCAAACCCCACAATCAATACTCAAGAGATCTGCATGAAGAATCACTGCAGAAACCCCAAAGAATTATAAACTAGCAATAACAGTAGCAACAGCCAAAGTTGAAACAAAGCACAGAGACGTTTTATGCATCATTCTCACACACTGTAAGATCACAGCTAAGATATACGAGAATGGCAGATATGAAGCAACATTAATCACACCATAAATCCCACTCCCTGCTAAATTTTGAGTCGTTTCTACCACGTGACATATCAACAATAAAAAAACAAAGAACTTGATCGGCAACAATGCCATAACAAGCACGCTGGATCATACTCAACCATTGCTGCCTCCTTCCATGTAATGTGGTCCATCCCAAAATTCACAAATTAATCCCTCATTAACCAGCTGACATTACTTGTTTCCCCACCGAGGAAAGGGAAGGAAATTTTCTGTTCTATTCACCAACCCCCATTTTCCAGATTTAAGACTTAGTAACTTAAAACTTATTCAGTAATTTCAGCAGTTCAGCAGCTTAAGTATCTAAATCACAATCTCTTGTCTACTTACTCTTCCCACTTGAAGCTTAAGACATGCAATTTTCATTTTTCAGCCCTCCAACTGGGCCAATTTCCAGTAGAGAATGATCCAAAAAGATATAGAATCTAGCATGGGAAGCCCAGAGTAAACAGAGAAAATAAAGCGCAGATGCAAAGCAAAATTCCTGTAACTGACTGGTTTCGAAGAATGCAGTACCAAGCAAATCAGCTGATGGCCACCAGAGCTTTACTGCATTTTCCTTCTCCTCGTTCTCTGAAGTACACATACACATGTATCATCACAATATCTGAATAAGGGAAAAAAAAGAGAGAGAATAATAAATTAGCAGAGAAATGAAATCTGAGGAGATGAAGGATACCTTCGCCACCCAGAGAGAAGATAGGGTTTACGTTTGAGATGGTTTGAGCAATTTATATCCAGTCATGTTAGGGTTAATTTCAGGTGATCTGAGGTAAGCAACCCAGGGAAATTGCAACTCGCTAAAACCAACCTGCCCAGTCCACTTTATCATGTCAACGACCCAAAACCGGTAGAAATATAACTTTGGGAATTTCTTCGGTGAACATGTATCAAAACATTTGTTTTTTTTTTTTTCAGTAAAGAAAAGAAAACTTTTTTTTTCCTTGAGAAAAACTATTAGGGAATGCCGAAGCAAAATGAAATATAAATCCTAATCCTAGAGGCAAAATTTAACACTAATATATAAATTCTGATTCAAGAGGCAAAATTTACCACATAACCTTCTTCCCAAAAAGGAAAAATACTAGGCCCATAACTACAGGCCCATTGCAATGGTAACTCTCACAAGTTACGAGGAAGGCATCATCACTTTAATCCGTTTAATCATACATCAGATCCATGGTCTGTCTAGTTCACAGCCCACAATAGCCCTCCCGAATTTCATTCCAATTAATTACAAAGACCTCAAAAAAAAAAAAACCACCAACAGGAACTCGGACTAACAGTACTGGATAGGCCACCTGATGTTGGTAAGAAGCGTTTAAATGATGATATACGGGGAGTTGCATCCCCACGTTTAATCACTTTGTAAATGGCCTGTTGGCCTCCATTACACCAAAAAAATAAAAAAACGAAACCAAAATTATAAAGAGTACGTATTTTTTTTTACGTAATTAAAGTAGATCCAAACCAGGTGAAAGAAGTTTTTGGAAGACAATTTTTTCCCGTCAACATGTAGAAAAAAAACTCGCATTATATTCTCCAAACATTGCTTTCGACCAAAAATGATTTTGCACTGGCTGAGGGGAGTAAGATAAAAACCCAGATCAAAAGGTCATATGATTATCAACAAAAACTACATCATCGTGATAAATTCTTGCTATATAAGCAAAATTTCTTCCAAAAACGTGACAAGATATACCAGATCTGACGTGACATCCATGGGAACTACGAGCTATGCAGTAAACACCGACTAAACATTTTGCTAAGCAGTTTTTGTATCATAATTAACAAATAACCAGCCTAACCTCATAGAAATCCAGGCCTGCAATCCATAGATTGAACATATTCGGATCTGCAATCCATGTCATGATTAACAAACAAACCAATTAGCCAATGGAAGGGACAAATCCATGTCCCAAACCATAGATTCAACCTATCCGGATCTGCAATCGACGCGGTGGATATCGGTTTCTCCATGGACAAGTCCAAGCCTACAAACCCTGGACTCAACGTATCCGAATAAAAAAATCCAGAATCCATAAGGGAGTGTTTGGCCTTTTTCTTTCTTTTTTGAGCAATCGGTTTCGCTCTTAACCAAGCTGACAAAGAGGTGCTGGGTGGAAGGCGAGTGAGATTGGATAACTGGAAGGAGATAGAAGAAGGCGATGCAGTTTTAGACGGAAGACCATCCTATCTTTTGACTCCCGTGTACAGGAAAATCTAACATTAGTTGCCGTCAGAACTCAGAAGTCCGGTTTTAAGTAGCAAGTACAAAGAGCTTACGCGCTTGTGCTAACGTAAGTAACCTCTGAGCTGGCGTGCACGTGGCTTTGGTGGAAAACTACACGATTTTTAAATACACCTACGTCTACGTGTACAAAAATTCACCAACTCTTAGCTAAAAGTTTAATGGCAAAAGTTTATGGGCAAAAAAGTCCCAGTGACCCTCAAATTATTAATCAAATGAACTTTTGACTCCCAAACAATTAAAAGAAAACTTTTGGCCTCCGATCTATCCAAAGTATGAAATATTAGACTTTCTGTCAAAATCAGCAGTTAATACCGAAGGAATCTACGATCACGTGAGATGCACGCTGAAATACGAAGGGCATTTTTATTCACAATGAGCTGTGTTTCACTCAATAAAATGGGACTCTTTCCCGAACTTGAACAAAGAAAAACTCCATTGCAGCCAAAGAAGTTGCTGAACTGGAAGCATGCGAGAAACCAGCAATCCGTCTTTCCTATTGTATAGGTGTGAGAAAATGTCGAGGGTCATAACTTCGTAGACGTCAAGAAATCCTGGGCAGAGATTTGCGGTGTGCACGGATAGTGGCTGCAGATTTTGGTAGTGGATTGACGAGGAGATGTGCAGCTGGTGAACGGATACCTGGGCTTCTGAACGGATACTGGTGAACGGATAACCGTATCTCTCAAAACAAAACAAAACTCACTACCGCCATCGACCGCACTAGCTCTCTCTCATTGGGCAAAAGAGTAGATTGCAGCCACCGGAATTTTATCATCCCTATAAATGGACCTGGAGAACCAACAGCAAGGCTTGCTTCTTCTTCAAAATGGCCACAGCAGCAGCTCCAACAATAACACAAGGGCCCCCACCAATCTAGCCACCACATTCTCCAGACTGACCTCCGCCACCTTGAACCACCACAGGATTTTCTTCAATGATTACGATGATGATGATGAGGAGAGGGAGGAGCATGAGGATGACCGTGGCCATGGCCCATCACTCCTAGTAGGCCAAGAAAGTCCATTCTCAAGGCCCTTCGTGATTCTTGATTTGATATGGAACTTGGGGTTTGTGTTGGTGGCTGCCTTTGTGCTTTTGACTACCGTCATCGAGAGAGACCCACCACCTCTTTAAGGCTTTGGATTGGTGGCTATGCTCTGCAGTGCTTCTTGCATGTGGGCTTTGTTTGGCTTCACTCTCAATGCAGCCATTTTTACATTCATCATTTCCACGGTGCTAGTAGTCGGGAAGTTGCAGTAGTAGCCGATAATGGCAGATAGAGGGAGAGATACTGGTGAAAGTAAACCGTTTGGTCAAAATTATTTTTCGCTCCATTTTACTGAGTGGAACACAATTCATTGTGAACAAAAATGCCCTTCGTATTTCGGTGTGCGTTTCACATGGTCGTAGATTTCGTCAGTATTAACTGCTGATTTTGACAGAAGATTTAACATTTTGTATTTTGGATAGATCGAGAGCCAAAAATTTATTTTTAATTGTTTGAGGACCAAAAGTTCATCCGGCTAATAGTTTGAGGGCCACTGGGACTTTTTACCCAAAGTTTATCAGAAACCTCCCCTGATGTTTCTTGAAATATCACTAAGCTCCTCCCACATTTTGAAAATCTTTCTTACCACCCCTCAAGTGATAATGGGGTCAGAAGTCACTATGAAAATTCATCAACTGCTAATAATACCCTTTGCTCGGTTGTTACCTTATTCAGCTGATAAAAGGAAAAAAATGACAAAAAAAACAAGCATGCAACTGTATAAAGTCTGGAAAACAATTGCCACCTAGATGCTGAGTTCCGTACATATTGCATGGCGCCATTTTGTTCTGATAAGACGTCTAAATACCCGAGAACTGAAGAGGAATTAAATACTACTTATAACTGTGATTGTTACTTGTAGCTTGGAGAACGAGTTGAAGCTATTATTCTAGAAATCTCTCTCTGGATATTGTAGAAGAGGAGAAATATGGCACTTCAATGAATTGCATGCACTAGGTTGGAGTGAAAGTGATTTTGCCAAAACTAAGCTGCACAACCGGTAAAAATCTTCCATTGCTAGTTGATATGATCAACATGTAACAGGAGAAAATGTAGGTGTCATGAACTGTTCTTCATGATTTGCCTATAATATTTATGTTTTCCTTGTATTTTTGTGTTTTATTGGACTTGATGACCGAGTTTAAGATCCAACCAGAGCCTTTGTATGTGATTCTTATATTAAGTATTGTTGATGTTGGATGCTGTAAAGAATGCCTGATTTGATGAACTATGCTTGACCTTTATTTTATGGATTCAAAAAAATTGATGACTATTGAGTTTTTTTAAATTGTAATACATAATAACAGCTTAACTTTGTAGCTTAAAGCTGCAATACATATGACAAGCTCTAAGTGTAGTGTATACAGTTGGTTTGTAGACAAAAGTGATAATAGAAATGAAAAGCTGGTGTAGTTGAATGTTCATGAAAGCTGCTATGAAGGTTCTGTTTTGCAACCTGAGTTTGACTTTGAATAAGCATGCATGTGTTATACTATATCACTTGTGAGAATATGTGATCCTTATAGCAACTGATTGAAACTTTTCTTGTGAACACACTGATATGTAGGATGGAAAAAATTATTGCACATGATATTATAGTCCATTACATGGGAAACACTGTCAGAATTCCTAATGTCGATCCAAAAACTACCAATATATTGACCTTCTCGGTGATGTTACTGATAAGGCAATGAATTATTTGCCTCAACATTTGAACATGCTTGTGCATATGAAATGTACGATTCCTAAGACAACAGGCTTTATGGACATCAGTAGTAACAAATCAGTCCTTGATATGTTCAAAGTTCATGAAAAAGATCTTGTTATAAACTTGTACTTACTGCACTTGGATATTATTCCTACTACATAGGAGAATATGGTAGAAAGACATAGGAATCGAAAAAAGCTCTTATTCCTATAGTTGACAGTGAGGATGACGATGAGAGTTATGCTTCTAGTTCTGATGACTCTTGGAAGAATGACATAGATAGTGACTTGGAAGATGTCATAGCTGAAGATAGAGCCTTAATTTCTTCCAGTGAGAAGGAGGAGAATGACTTGTCTGATTATGAGAAGATTGAGGATGCACAAGTTGTGCCTGATTCAGAATCTGACCAAGAATCAGATCCTATGAGAGCAATCATGCAGTAAAAAATGTGGACTTACAATCCAGGAGAGGATATTGAATTTGAGAAAGGAATGCTATTTACCAATGTGGATGCATTTAAAGCAGTGTTGAAGGACTATGCTATTCATAAAGGATTTTCGTTTGGTGAGATTAAAAAATGAAAAGAGCAGGTGCACTACCAAGTATGGTGCTGAGGGTTGTAATTGGAGGATTTATGCATCCCTAGTTGCTGATACAACAACATTTATGGTTAAGACAAATACACCTGAGCATACGTGTGTCATGAATAGGAAAAATTCAGAAGCAACATCAGATTGGATTGCAAAGAAGTTAATTTCTATTACGAGAGATCACCCAGAGATGACAAGCAAGGCAGTAAAGACTGAAATGCAGAAGCATGGAGTCTTGCCAAGTAGAATGCAAATTTACAGAGCAAAAAAGAAAGTTTTGGAACAGATAGAAAGATCACACAGTGGGGCCTATGAAAAGTTACCAAAATAAGCTGAACTTTTGAGGATGCATAACCTAGGAAGCATCATGAAAATTCACTATGATAGGCCAAACCTTCTTATAGATTAAATTTCTGAGATTGTTCATATCTTTCAAGACACAAAGAAATGATTTCCTGGCAAGTTGCAGGCCATTTATTGGCTTAGATGGCTGCCATTTGAAAGGTGCATTTGGGGGCATTCTGTTGACTGTTGTTGCTCTTGATGGAAATAACAGTTTGTTTTCATTAGCTTTTGCTGTTGTAGAGTATGAAAATAAGGAAGCTTAGAGTTGATTTTTTTACTATTTTCAAGAATTCTTTGAACCATTTTCAACCAATATTCCACTCACCTTCATGAGTGATAGACAGAAGGTATGTTACCTGGTTGTATGTTTCATGTTTCAGATTTCTTCCATTGTTGTTATAGTGGCTAAATCAAGTATTTGAAGGAATTTGTTTCTAAAACTTTTGTATAGGGACTCAACCTTACTTATGAGGAACAAGTGCCTGAAACTGCTGCACGATATTGTTGTTGACACATCTACTGCAACTTCAAAATAAAATTTTCAGAATTGCTTCTAAGGAGATTTTTTTGGCAAGCAACTAAAAGCTATGATCTGATAGGACACAATGAAACTATGAAAAGAATAAAGAATATTAACATAGATGCTTGAAAATACTTAGCAAACATTCCTAAGTGTAATTGGGCAAGGCATGCATTCTCTATTGAAATTAAGTGTAATCATATCACCAATAATTTTACAGAATCTTTTAATGTATGGGTTGGAAAACTAAGAGAAAAGAATATACTTGCTCTGGCTGATGGACTGAGGCAAAAATTCATGAAGAAACTACATAAGAGGTATCAAGAAGGCTGCACATGGACATCTAGTGTTACTCTACATGTTATTGGTAAGTTGAAGGATATTGTAGCTGAATCAAGAAGGTGTTCACTGACAATGGCAAGTGAGAACACATTTGAAGTAGCAGATGTCAATAAATCCTATATAGTAAAATTGACTGAGAAGACATGTGAATACAGGGCTTTCCAGTTGGCTGGTATTCCTTACAAGCATGCTGCACTAGGAGCTATTTATAGAAGGGAGAAACTGGAAAGCTATTGTGATGCAGCCTTTTCTAATGATCAATATTTGAAAACATATGCATTCATGATCAACCCAATTTCACATATGAATAGGTGGTCTCATATGAAAGATGTGACACCAGCAGTAGTTTTGCCACCACCACTTAGAAGAAGAGCTAGCAGACCAAGAAGAAATAGAAAAAGAGCACCTGGTGAAGAAGCTCCTGCATCACAACAGAAGAGATCAAT